ATCAAACTTTCTTTCATTTAATTATTTGATAAACACTAGGCAAATTAAGTCAACAATATAATAAGGTGAAGACATCATGCCAATATCAATTCTCAGTTGTGATTAAGGTTGGCAAAATCTCACATTATTACTATTAATTCACAAGTTAGTTAACGATAAAAGTAATATTGTGTCCAGCCACTTAAAAATATTGACATTTTAATAATGAATCCTTAATTTAGAGAAATTTACAAAATACACATTGTGTATAGTGTTTATGTATCATATTTAAAAAATTTATATTTTACGTACTACATTTTAGTTTGTCGTAACAAAAAATAACGGTCGCTAAAACATTGACACATATAACATTATAAATAAACAAAAATTCTCATAAGATAAATTGATATATAACTTTACATATCAAAATTTTTTAGTTTCTTTTATTAATCTCCAAAATTTAATTGCTATTTATTTCTTCTAAAAATTTATAAATTTTCTCTCTTTTATTTATTATTCCGTGAACTAACATTCAGTTGTGTCTTTTTACTACACCATTTACATAATGTTTTTCCATTTTCATTGTTATACAAAATTCTTTTCTTTTTTTTATTTTTTTTTGGTAGACAACAGTTATATAGATCTTTTTGTCTATGAAGATTTCACGTAGAAAAAAAAAAAAAAAATGTAAGAAACTAAAGCATGCATTTTTTACAATTTTTAATGTTCAAACTTTATTTTCAATCGCACACTTACCTAAAATATAATTTAATGTAAATTCAAAAAATTTCTCTATTTTTTAACTACACATTCTCCAAAAAATTACTATTCCTTCTCCAAAAGAAATGGGGCTCAAACTGGGGCTCAATATGATATTCAACCAAGCAGTTTGATGCAAACAATTGGAATTTAAGGTTGACTTCACCATGGAATTCTAAATTCAGTCCTTCTTTAGTTTAGATTTTAAAAAAATGATAAAAATTTTGGTTAAAATTAACAACTAATTTTAATCATACATCTTATGGAACTCACAATTTTTATCAACTTTTTAATCATATATTTCATCAACTTTTATTAAAATCTACTAAAGTTTTGATTTAAATTTAAATCAAACAAGTTTAACTTGATGAGTTCGAAAGTTCAAAACAATTAATTTGACCGTTTAAACAAGCCATTGAGCTTCTATTCTCAAATTTGATCCCAAAAAATAATCTAGAAAACGTCCCAAAAAGGAAAAAGAAATGAACTAGAAGACGAAATTTCAAGTATTGGTAAGGGGCTGGGTTTAAGTCTTAGTTCTGCTGCAATGCATGTTCTTTTTCCTACTTTTGTACCTTTATATTTGTTGGCATAGCCTATTTTCTTGTCCAACCAGAAACCACCTCACAGCTAGCTCTTTCTCTCTCCCCCTCTTTCTCTCTCCAAATGATGGAGAGATTGTTGGAACCCCTCATACTCGGGAGAGTAATAGGGGATGTTCTTGATTTTTTCTCTCCAACCATAAAAATGTCGGTCACTTATAATGGCAATAGACTAGTCTACAATGGACGTGAGTTCTGTCCGTCTGCAGTCGACACCAGACCAAGGGTTGAGATTCAAGGAGGTGATATGAGAACTTTTTATACACTGGTATGTGGAATATTATGCACTATTACATTCTTGATTTTAAAATCTTGGTACAATGAATTAGACTGCACTGTTCAGTTCCTATTAATTTAATTTAGAAAAAGAAAATAAAATTTCATCCAATTATTATATTCTCTATATTTTGCAGGTGATGATTGATCCTGATGTCCCTGGACCTAGTGATGCATACCTCAAGGAGCATCTCCATTGGTATATTTACCATAAGATATATGATTTTTATTTTTTTCTTTCATTTTTCAAGTACTCACCCTAACCTGACAGTGGGTTTGAACAAGCCTACCAGTCCTTTATTAAATACAACTGAGACTGGTTCTAACATGATTTTGTATAGTATATTTTGTGAAAAGTGAATTTTAGAAAATCTGTAGTTTAAGGAAAAAAATTATGAATTCACATACAAAATTATTTTCTCGAGAGAATGTTTAATTGAAAGTGAGTTTGAAAAAAAACAAAAAGAAAAGAAAAAAAGAGAAGAATACTAAACATTAGAAGCCAATCAAGGATCTAATCTTAACTCCAGGAATACAAGGGAGGAGAACAAGAGAATTACACATAGAATCACAGCCCAGTATTTGAATCCTAGATTTAATTAGGCTCATTCTTTGGTTAATAACTTTCCGGTCTATATAGTCTAGCTGATGAATTAATTACACGATCAAGGAAATAGTCCAATGTTTTAGAGTCATATACTTCTCTAACCATGTTCAAGTATATATTCATATTTTGACGTATTTGATTTTTTGTTAAAAAAAACTTATTTCTAGTAAATTTTAATAAAAGTTAATGAAATTGTGTTCAAAAGTTGATAAAAGTTATGAATTTCGTGAAATATGTAATTAAATTTTCACTTAGATTTTTATCCACTTTTTTAGATCAAAGTGAACACGAAAATGGAATTTAATGTGACAATTATTGAGCTACAACCTTAAATTGTTTGTAGTCTAGTCCCAAACGAGTATTTAAGTTTATACCAGTATCACGATCCATGTTTTTTTTTTTTTTTTTTTGGAGCTCAGACCTAACCGCCACCTAATTAAATTATATTCCATCATAGCAAGCGTACAAATTCCAATTAATATTTACTTGCACATAGAGAATCACTGAGTTAAAGATGCTAGGAATTCTTTTTCATCTCTTCTATATAAGTCAACGTCTTAAGTTTACTTCCTGAGCTCTGATGATTGTTGACACGGGAATAAGAAGAATATATTCCTTTTTTATCATTTTGAAAGAGTGCGATGGAACCCTTTGCTCAAACTTCTATTGCACCTTTAGAAAGGAAATCGGCATTTAAGACAAATTTCCTTTAAAAAAAATAAAAACAGAAAACCTACTAATCAAAGGTTTTTACTGTAAACAATTTTACAGGTTAGTCACAGACATTCCAGGCACGACAGATGCCACATTTGGTGAGATCACTATCCCCATTTTTGGTGAGAATGACTCTATATCTTTCTCTGATTAATTTATTAATAGTGGAGATCAAAATGTTACTTTTACAGGAAGAGAGTTGGAGATCTATGAAATCCCGAAGCCTAACATAGGTATCCACAGGTTTGTGTTTGCTCTCTTCAAGCAAAAAGGCAGACAAACAGTACATAAACCACCTGCTTCAAGGGATAATTTCAGCACTCGAGCTTTTGCTGCAGAAAATGACCTCGACTTACCCGTTGCTGCCCTTTTCTTCAATGCACGGTGAGAAACCGCTGCAAGAAGACGATAACTGCGCCATGTATGTGTTCAATAAATTGGTGCACAATTTATATTCCGCTAACTAAAAATATGTGCATGATAAAATTACGAGTTACACATGCGAAATATAGAACAGAATTTTGACTTATCGAATCAAGATACGTGCATAAAAAATAAATAAAATGACAACTTACTGATATCTAGGAAAAATCAGAAATTAGAAGGAGATGAAATGAAACGAGGTAAGCAGATCGGTAAATAAAAATTCTATTCTATATTTTGCATGTGTAAGCGGAATATAAATTATGCACTTGAAGAGTCATATCCAATCAATGTACCTATTGGAGACTTTTCCAATTCAAATATTTTAATTGGAATATTATCCTGAAATTCCAACAGTATCACAACCAGAATAATAGGACTTTCTGAGTTAATCGTGCATGAAGGTAAATAATAACATGAAAAAAAAAATGTCTCGTCTGTACTGGTGTCTGCAGGTTCATTTGAACTGAATCAGAAAAATCTGTATTCTTTGCTTATTCGGTCTTGTTAAATTGATAAAAAAGTTCCACATACTTGGTATTGTCCGCATGTTTGGTTTATCCAGTCCAGCTCTAAGCCGTACCATCATTGTTTAGTTTCCTGCAAGTATTTTGGCTTCATTATATGTTTTCTTCACATCAAATCACAGCAACATCAAGCCCTTTTCTTTAACTTCTTGCACGTTAGGCATGTGGAAAATTAATTTGTTTATAGGCCATTTTTATACTATTTATATTATAGGTCGTCACATGGGTGGACCCAATGGGTTAAAATAAATCGTGAAAGAAACCAAAAAATTCTGAAAATTTAAATTGTGGAAATTACATCCACCTGGACATGTCCATTTCACAATTCAAAACTAAGATTTACAATTTCTGTATTCAAAATTCAGATTAAAATTAATATCTAATAATTCTGGTCTTTAATATTAATAATATTATAAAGTAAAATAAATCTACAATCACCCCCATCATATTTCATCCCTAAACCCTAAATCAATTTCCTCCCCCTTCTCTCCATATATCCATCCCTTCCCTCTCCGGCTGCCAAAGCCACCACTAAGTAGCGCCATTATCTCTGACGAAGTCGTGCACAGAGGCACTTCGTCAGAGAGAGTGGGGCCCGTCGTTGTAAAATGCCGTTCACTACGACGAGTGGCACTTGTCAGCGGTGTTCAGTACCTTTATGAAGCGTCGTGCACAAGAGAGGGAAATAGCATTGTCCAAGCCGTGTACAGTAATAATGAACTTGCTATTTTCGAAGCTGCAAGCACGAGTCTATCTGGCTAGCGAAAGACTAGACAACATACAGTGGTTTTGGGGTTGTTTCTTCATCCTCTGATCTACTGTTTAGCCAAAGTTTGTGGTGATTTTTGTTGGTGCTGCGGATCGATGGTGTTGGATGTTTCGATTAATTGTTGATCTTGGAATTGAGTCGACAGATGGGAGACTTTGTGGATGGAGAGGCAAGGAGGAATGGTAATGTAATTGGTCTACTGGGCTATTGATTTGAGGTATGAAGGCATGGTGATGGTTACCCATTGGCGAGAGATGGAAGATTTGGCAAAGGCGATGTATGGTAATGGTGGCGGCGGCGTCGAATTGGTAGGTTGGGAGACGCATTTGCTACTTGTTAGAGAAATATGGTGTTGGTATTGGTGTTGGCAGCGGCAGTGGCAGTGGCAGGTGGTGGTATACAGATTCAGATCCAGCTGATAGAATTTTGATAATTCAGATTTGAAAGAAATCAACAGATCCTTTCACCAAAATCGTAATGCTCCACGTTGAATCAAAGAGAACAAGAAAGCGGAAGCGTACCTTGATCCATAGATTAACAGTGATTTTGAACGGGTTACAATCTTTCAATTGATCCATGATTTTCCTTGCAATTCTTGAAAAACTCTCTGTTGATGGGAATGCAGAGGTTATGAAATATTACGTCAATTGGGGACCATGACCCCATGATAAATAACTGTAGGCAGTTATCATCTTTTATTTGTTTTAAATGGTCCTTCATCAATTTAAAACAACCACCCAGCCTCTACACTTTAATCCCATAATAATTGATACCCATTAGTCCAAAATTAAATTCGTTGGATCACTTTAATGGACTAAAACTATAAGATAGCAATGCACACTTTAATCATATACATGTGTGGCCCCAATTGATAAAATTTTTCCAGCAATCTCACACTGGGCCATACATGTAATCTTTTAAATGTGCACAACCTTATGAGCTCAAGATTTGCTATTATTATTAAGGGTATTTTCAAACAATCTCATCCATTAGTCATATTGATGTAGGATCAAAGCAATTTTCGTCACACTTAACGTGACTAAATCCATCAATGGTCACATACACCCATACAACCAAATGACATAGATCAATCATGGGAGCGTAACATGGAAATTACATGTTATGTGATCCAAACATGTCTATTTCCAATTGGTCCAACCTTATATCTTAAGTGAGATCAATATTGAATACAATAACAGAGTGAAATGAACTGAATACTTTATTTTTGTAAAGAAAAATATCCAAATACACAAATGTGTCCAATTAAACATAAAGCAATAAGAATACAAACTCCCACTAAAACACGATATCCTCAATAAATCTGACACCCATACGAGCAGTGTGCTCATGAGAGATATTGGGTGGCAATCCCTTAGTAAGCTGATCTGCAATCATGGAGTTCGTCCCAATGTGCTCCATAGAAATTTGTCCACTCTGTACTCTTTCCTTCACGATCAGGAATTGAATGTCAATGTGTTTTGACTTAGATGTGCTCCTGTTGTTGTTGGAATACAGAACTGTCGAGTCATTGTCACAATATAACTTTAGTGGTCCTTCTATGCCGTTCAGAATGCGCAGCCCAATGACAAAGTTTCGCAGCCATATTCCTCGATTAGATGCCTCATAGCATACTACAAACTCTGCAGACAAGGTAGAAGAAGCAATGAGTGTCTGCTTGGCACTCTTCTAGGAAATAGCTCCTCCAGCTAGCAGATAGATATAGCTTGATATGGATCTTCTACTGTCTTGGCATCCAGCAAAATTAGAATCGGAGTACCCTATGATCTCCAACTGATTCGATATGTTATATGTGAGCATGTAATCCTTTGTTCTCTTTGAATACCTCATAACCCTTTTGACTGCTTTCCAATAATCCATTCCAGTGTTGCTTAAATATCTGCCTAGCATTCCAACAATAAATGCTATATCTGGACATGTACAAACTTGAGCATACATTAGACTCCCAATAGCTTATGCATAGGGAATCTTCTGCATTTCCTTAACTTCAAGGTCATTTTGCAGGCATTGGTTGAGACTAAATTTGTCTCCCTTAACGACAGGGGTGTCACCTGGTTTGTAGTCTTGCATGCCAAACCTCTTAAGTACTTTATCGATATAACTCTTTTGTGACAATCCAAGAATACCTCGAGAACGATCTCGGCATATCTGAATTCCTAATACAAAAGAGGCGTCACCAAGATCTTTCATCTCAAAATTCCTTGACAGAAATCTCTTGGTTTCCTGCAACATGCCTATATCATTAGCGGCAAGCAGTATGACATCAACATACAAAACCAGGAAAATATGCTTACTCCCACTGAACTTGTGATACACACAATCATCAATAGTATTAATCTCAAAACCAAATGATATAATTACTTGATGAAATTTGTGGTACCATTGACGGGAAGCTTGCTTGAGCTCATAGATGGATTTCTTTAATTTGCAAACCACATTTTTCGGGTCTCCAGACACAAAGTTTTCTGGTTGCACCATATAGATCGTCTCGTCAATGTCGCCATTGAGAAACGTCATCTTAACATCTATCTGATGTAACTCAAGGTCAAAATACGCAACAAGTACCATAATTATCCTGAAAGAATCCTTCGTTAAAACTGGAGAGAAAGTCTCTTTGAAGTCGATGCCTTCCTTTTGGGTAAAGCCTCTAGTTACAATATGAGCCTCATATCTTTCCACATTACCTTTTGTATCCCTTTTGGTTTTAAAAATCCATTTACAACCGACGGGCTTCGCACCTTCTGGTAACGGGACAAGATCCCAAACCTTCTTATCTTGCATAGACTTATACTCCTCATTCATGGCATCAATCCACTTTTGAGAGTTAGAACCTGCATGGCCTGATGGAAATTGATTGGATCATCTTCCATCATTCCATCATTTTCCTCATATTCTTGGAGAAATACTATAAAATCATCTGAAATAGCATTTTTCCTCTCTCTCTTGGATCTCCTTAATGGCATTAGTTCTTGAGGTTGTTGAGTTTGTACTTCTGGAATAATTACTTCATTTTGGGTGGGAAGTTCTTCAACATTGTCTTGTTGAGGTTCTGGATATATTTCTTGATCAATGATAGGTATAGAAACCTGTACATAGTCAAAAGTAATAGTAGGAATCGAGACTGATCCTCCCTCAACTTCTTCCTCAAAGACAATGTCTCTAACCTTATTTCTCCCTCCAAACTCAACATTCTCAAAAAATATTGCAGTTCCCATTTTAAAATTGACTTAAGTGTGGGATTATAAAATTTGTAACCCCTAGATCGCTCAGAATAGCCAATAAAGTAGCTGCTTATTGTTTTGGAGTCCAATTTCTTTTCATGTGGCCTATAAGGCCTAGCCTTAGTTGGACATCCCCAAACATGAAAATGCCTTAGACTAGGCTTTCTGCTTGTCCAAAGCTCATAAGGTGTTTTAGCAGCAGCCTTAGTTGGTACTTTGTTCAGAATATAAGCTGCGGTCTTTAATGCCTCTCCTCAGAGTGATTTTGGTAAATTTGAATGACTAATCATACTCCTTACTGAAAAGGCTATAGGTCGACCCAGTCAACACCTAGAGGGGAGGTGAATAGGTGTCTATGCGGAATTTAACAATTTAATTAAGTTATGCAACAAGTCACATAAATTAGACGTTGTCCAGATTCATTCACATGATTTAACTACCTATGTTGAATTGCCGGTTAAATTGAAATTGATAGAAAGCAATAAATAACACAAAAATTGTTGACGGAGAAAACCCAACTGGGTAAAAACTCCGAGCAGAAGCCAGTAGGGATTCACTATAGAAGACTCCAACTTACAGTATGCCAGACATGACTGTATCTAACAACACTCTGACCTCCTTACTGTATCAACCAAAGCTCTCCTGGATTCTGCAGATCTGTGCCAAAATTCCAGCCTTGTATTTCTTCTATTTCCCGTGAATCAACAAGAACTCCAGTTCTTCAATCAACCTCCTTCTCGGATCTTCAATCAACTAATCTTGTGGAAGTAGTGAGGATTTTTTATAGGTGTTTTGTTTGAAAAGGTGTTTGATGTTTTTTTCTTCAATAAATCCGAAACTCTTGCGACGCACTCTCGATCGAGCGAAGTGGTGGCAAAACTCCAGCGATGCAGGTTCTGTTATTTAGGCTCGAGCGAGGTTAGGGCGAAACTCTAGCACCAATCTTGCGTCGTTTTCATCTTCAAAGCATCCAACTTTACCCTAGACCTATACATTAA